CTATATCGATCCCTCGCAATTTCCAAGATTTTTTCTTTCACTTTTTAAATTCATTGGTATACACTTACTGCAGAACCTGCAAGTATAAGCACAGTTATTTTTGAACCAAACCGACTTGTTGACGCACTTATCTTTGACCTTTTCACAGTCTTGAAGGTCGACGCATAACTTCACTAAAATTAGAAAAAGAAAAAAAACCGATCAAATCAGTCAATCAGTTAATCAATTAATCTATCAGTTCCTCAGTCATTAGTTCTGTTGATAAATCGATCAGTCGATTAAATAGTCACTAAAAAAAGAAATAAATAAAAGGGACGACGACATCACAGTCAATAAACTACAGACCTCCTGCACGCTTTTCGTGTCTGTAATGCTAACATTTTCATAAACAGGCTATGAAAAACAACAGAGTTGCTGAGAAAAATTAAAGGGACGACTGACTTGAATGTAGAGATTATTCAACGTATAGTTGTGTACTACTGCACGGTATTTTACGAGGTACGTTTTAAAAGCAGGATGATTGGAATATCTCAGATGCGTTGCTCAACTTGACCACACAATCAGCAGTTTGACACACGGCCGTATCCAGCTTATAACTCGTGTGCATGTTGCGTGCGATCCGCTGAGGTGCACTTATTCCGGCTCTTCTCAGCGCGGCGTATCCGCACAGGCTTTCTCAACAGGTCGTATAACTTGCTTAGCTCTTTCGACGAGGATATTATCGCTCGTGTTTAATTTAATGAACCTACCACCACAGCCAGCTTTCGCTGGCCCATCAGCAGCAGTTTTGCTGTCCGGACAACAGCCATATTTGGTGTCCCAGCAATTCTCTTCTGTTTTATGGAGAGAGAGAGAGAGAAATATTCAGTTGGCTTTTTTTTGCTTGCGACACGCACAAGGTTAAGTGCAATCACTAGATTCCTCATTTTAGGGCGAAGGAAGATAAGGAGGATAAACTCAAACTATGTCCTTTCGATTTACAGTGCTTGTAAGGTAAACCTTTTAGCCTTACGCTTGGGACTGAGTCAGTCCTAAGCAGTCCCAACTGACAGACTGACTGACTGACTGATTGACTGACTCACTGACTCACTGACTCACTGACTCACTCACTGACTCACTGACTCACTCACTGACCGACTGACTCACTGACTGACTGGCCGGCTGACTGGCTGACTTACCACAGAATCCACAGGTTTTTCTGCACCTCGATTTCACCCATGCTCTGAACCTTTCTTCCCAACACTGTCCGTTGTCCACGAACCGTTGACATTTCGGAAACCTGTCGAAACATTCTGCCAGGAGAGAAGTGTATCCTTAGGCTGACATGAACGAACTCCTGACAAGTCAATTCCCAGAAACAAGCCTGGGTGTACCATTGGTGTGTGAATATTGAAGAAGATGAATAGCTGACGAGAGCTTCACTACGCGACTGGCTTGTCCTTATTATGCCCTGATGGCGTGACAAATTTTGGAGTCGGTCTTCCTAACGATTGTTCGCGCTTTTTTTCTGACGATTTGGCGGATAACAGTGGCCCTTGGTTCCTGCCGAATGGCCAGTTTAAGTTTAAAGTTACGTCCAATTTAAATTTTGCGCCATCTTTTGCAGTCGGGAAACTTCAGACAGATCTTCATAATGTAACAAGCATACGCTCACATTAAGTTTAGAATGAACATTA